TCGCTTTAGTCTTCGTTTGTTCGACTGACAGCGAAGCAAGCAAAATTAGACAGTACTGCGATGACATTACAATTTAAATTCAACGTTTTCGCTTTTTCATATTCCTTTACATGTCACTACGTTTAAATAGGTTGACTTGGGACATTTGTTTCGTGGTTTTTGTATTAGACCCGTCGTCCATTTATTTGTAAGTCAATGTCGATAATGAAAAAATTTCCATTTTGAAAAAAATTGTATTTTTAACCGAAATAAATAACGTTCCGGGTATGTTTTCAATATGTTACCTTTAATTTTTCACATTTGACGTTGGCACCTGTAAAAGTTAAAGTTACTGAACGAAAACGATGGAGCCATTAAAAAGGTTTAAAATCGAAGTGTGGCGAAATCATTTTAAATCTCGATTGTGTCTAAATGGGTTTTAGCTACATAAGTTAATTTTATAATTCACGCTAAATTAAACTCCCAAAAGATATTTCTAAACGTAGAACATAATATGAGACTTCGAAATTATATTTTTTCAATTTTTCAAATTTTATTTAAAAAATTTGCTTCCGTGTCGTTCCGCCAAAATGTAAATTGAGTCTCAGCGACCATAAGTCTCCACTTCCATTCGCTGAATTAAAAAAATTACGCAACGAACATTTTTTTATAATACAAAGTGATCAGATGAACAAGACATGCGCGTGATGGTAAGCGACACGCCTGACCATAACACTTACAGTACCATTTAGAGCTTTTAATCACAAAGATCTGACGGATACTGCCACTGCACCCGTCACCCCCAGATATAAGTCCTGTGGTTCTGGTCGTCGATTGTAGTAGTAGTAATAAATGCGAAAGAAATAAGAAAAAATAAAAAAAAATTGATGAATTTTCGCATAGAGATAGATGGAACCTAGGAGAAGGATAAGGAGAATTTGGGGATGAAAGTTTGAATGGAAATTCTATCATTTCTCAGGTAAGGAATCTGAAAATTCATATTTATGCCTTTTGTAAGAAATAGACAATGTTTCAACTTTTTTGATGAATTACCCTTCGATGTAAAATATGGGATAAATAATATTTAGCATTAGAGCTCCTTGTGAACGAGTTCGTCCAGCGAAGTACTGTCACCTTACCTATTTCTGTCACCAAGCAGTAAAGCGACTGTTACTGCGTTCCGGTTTTGAAGGGTAAGGGTGCTTGGGAAATTACAGGCACATGGGACTTGTTAACTTACGTCTCCGAGTGACGGGCGCAGCGGCAATGCCCCTAAAGAACATTGCAATTTAAAGCTCTGAGTGGTACTGCAACCGTTATGAACAGGCGTGTCGCTTACCACCAGGCCCACGACTTGTTCGTCCCGTCGCTTGGTAATAATAAAAAAAAGAGTAGACTTCTCGAAATAAATTTAAACATTTTCTTCTGTAATTTGCAAAGGCATCTGCTTATGTTACTAGTTCTGCTGTTTTTTTATTGGGGAGCGCTCAAAGGAAGTTTTCGAACTGTGTACGTTTCCATCATCGCACCTTCCGCCATAGCAGTAGAGCCCATCCCCACATCATTTAACACGACATGCTAGATCATAGTTTCCACTTTAAGGGTGGCAAACTGGGGGTGAATCCGGTTTCACGCTCTCTCCTGTAACCGATTCGACAAAAACTTGGCAAATATACCTAATTTCTCGAACTTTTGAGGTTGGTTTTTTTTTTTAATAAAACTGTTGTAATCTTTTTTCTTTCTTGATCTGAAAAAATAGTTTTCTGTGTAGTTACTACTCGATATAATACAATCTCACTGGATAAGTGACATTGTCGCAGATAAAGCATTTTGACCTAAGAAGTGTTTATTCACGATCGTCTTGAAAAACGAACCAGTGTGCGTTGCCAGTGATCACATATCAGAATCAGAAACGTGGTCCCTCACTATGGGCCTCATAAGAAGGCTCAAGGTCACTCAGCGGGCAATGGAGAGAGCGATGCTCGGTATTTCCCTACATGATAGAATCAGAAATGAGGAAATTCGTAGGAGAACTAAGATAACCGACATAGCTCGAAAAATTGCTCAGCTGAAGTGGCAGTGGGCTGGACACATAGCTAGGAGAACCGATGGCCGTTGGGGCGGAAAGGTTCTTCAATGGCGACCGCGCACCGGATGACGCTCAGTGGGTAGGCCCCTCACCAGGAGGACCGACGATCTGGTAAAGGTCGCGGGAAACCGATGGATGCGGGCAGCGCAGGACCGATCGTCGTGGAGATCGTTGGGGGAGGCCTATGCCCAGCAGTGGGCGTCGTATGGCTGAATGATGATTGAAAAACGAAACCACGGGGATGAATGACTTTTGAGCTCGGTTTTTTAGTACTCTGTACTGAGATTACACTTAAGCCGTTATTGAATACCAATACCATATTATGATATTCGTCGAAAACGCATAAACAGGTTTAATGGTTGTTTATGAGAAATATAAGCGCGTCCAGGGAACCATTTTTAAGATTAAATCGTTTTCTTAAAGTTAGTTTCGTCAAAGAACACGCTAAGTATTGCATTTAAGTTTGAAATTCAACTCTATGTTACTTATTATAAAGCCAGAACAAAAACAAAGGCTTCTGTGATCTTGACTAAACATTTGCGGGAAATATGCATGAGAGTTGGTAATCAAATGGCAACAATAGTAGCATTTTGAATAACTCCATTAATTATAAGCTAGGATCTTGAAACTAATATAGTATTAAGTAGTAAATACGTAAGATGGTGGTAGCTTTGTGACTGTGTAGCAGTAATTCGTCACGCTAATGGCTTTTCTTCTAATTCCAAGTGTCGGGACGAATAAGGCGTGCACTTGCTATTAAGTGTCTATACAACCTCAAACGGCTTTGGTTGATGCCGCACAACAGTGAAAGTGTTGAATAAAAACTTTGGTAAAAACTTAGAATAATAACGCATAGAATGATAGTTTCATATGAAACGAACTGTCACAAGTGAGGCAAAAATCAAATTCATGTAGGCTCGTTTTAGTAGTAGGTTAATTTTCGGTTTTAGTGAATATTTATATAAAAATAGAAGTTGAAACGCGTTACTTCCTTGTGGAATGTGATGTTAGTATCTATTTTATGTTTGTCTGACGTATTTTTACACTCATTTACCGCACATTTCGTCATTTTAAGCTAAAATTCTTGATCTGTTCGCGGTGCAAGTTGACCTTGAGCACTGAAGGCCCGCCCTCTCGTGTAGGCCCTTTGGGCGCGCTTCAATTTGCCTCACTTAGCGTGTGCGGACTAGGTTTCTATGCGTTATTATTCTAAGGGTAAAAATATATAACAAAATTGAGGATATGCACTGATTAATATATGGTGTTTAAAACACAATTCCTAAAAATTTTCGCGATAGAAAAAATCACAAATTTACCTCGAAACTTTACAAGAATACCACTGTATTCAATATGTACTTTACATATACCAATGATCTTTTTTTTTATATCAACTGAGCTAAACAGATCACGATATACCCACTCACGCGATGCGCTCATCCTACAGCAAAATGGCGGCTATTTGGTTTCGCAAATTAGAAAAGGATTCTGTTTAAATACAAGTTTTTATAAATAAAAATTATTATTCTGCATTGCTAAATAAATACCTTCCGTACTACCAACAAAAACATCTCAAATTAATTGCAGTAATACACCGCAAATCCTGCACTTAAAAAGCACTAATGAAATTTTTGGTGTACTTGGGTAAATATGATAATATTCCGTTTGAGTGGTTCTAACGTTTACCATGAAATTACTCCTTAAAGTATAGTTTGTAAATATTTTACGGTATGTTTTCAATAAATAAACACCGAAATCACCAGCCCAAACAATAACACACACGATTGTCGTGACGTATTTTTGAAGTTGTTTATTTTTTTAAATTACAGACCCAGGCATTAAAAACTTTATGGTTTGCTAGAGTAGTTACCGAAATAGCAATTAGTATTAGTTCTTTTACCTGTTATAACTTCGATATCCGATAAACCGGTATAAAATCCTCACCGGCACCTCTAGGTGTGGTATGCGTCTACGGCTGCATTATCGCGGGAGTGCATAAGATACACATTTTTCAAATAGCTTTTATTTATAATAAATTCTGAAATAAAGCCAGTGTATCTGCCCTTCGCAAACAAAATGAACCGTTTTCATTACGGGCAAAATTTGAAATCAAACTGAGGTAATATCGATTTTTAAGCGACACGTCTGTCCATAGCATTGTAACACTGAGCTTTAAATCGCAAAGATCTTACCTTGAGACATGAGTTGACACGTCCCATGTGCTTGTAATTTCACCGCACACTGACCCTTCAAAATCGTTACCCAATAATGTTCACATTACTGCTTGGCGGCAGAAATAAATAAGGTGACATTACTTCCCTGGATGAACTCCTTCACAAGTAAGTCTACTGTTACTAAATGGTTTGAAAGAGGACGTAGTGACAAAATGAAGAGAGGTATGTTGAGGTGCTTTAGGCATATGCAGGAAATTAAATTACACTTTTTATTAAAAAAAAAGTTCCTGGAATTATTGAAATCGGTTATCGGAAAGTGCGCGAAACCGGATTCAACCCCCAGTTTGCCACCCTTAGAGGTGGAATATTATCTTCAAATTTAAATGGGATCTATACCACCCTCTTTCCAACAAAAAAAGAATCATTAAAATCGGTTCACAAATTGTAAGTAATTGCTTAACATACACATAAAAAAACACTGGAAGTGAAAAATTAAAATTAAATTTCTTAAGTTTGTCACGAGTGGTTTTAGCCTGTTTGCTGCCGAAGCTGTGGTATTAGCTATGTAGGACCGTGTAATCAGTAGCCACTGCCGCATACACTCTGTCCACTTACCCATAACTTAGCTCTCTTACCACCAAGCGTTTAACTTGCTCATGCGGTCACTGGTATCATAAAAATGAAATAAGAAACTCAATTTTTAAAAAAAGATGAATTTAATTTAAGGTAATGTATAGACTAAACTTAATTTTTCTTTTCAGGTAAGTCTCGATCTGTCGATGACACAGCCAAGGAGGACCCATGTCTTACTGGTAGGCTTTATTTATTATTTTAATTATAATTATCCGTAATTAGTTTGTAACTTGAGTTTTTCTATGGGAACGGAAGGCGAAAGATGAGAGTTGCGAGGTTCCCCTAAATGTGATAATGTATAGTTAGAAAAATATTATTTGCACCGATTTGTCTCATCGTCTCTTCATCTTTAGAGTGAAATAGGACAACAGAGTGAGCCATCTCTGTAAAGCACGTGCCATCTGCATATCTTTTACGCATTGGCACTTAATTCAAAACTAATCTTTATGCGGAACTAATTTTGTTGAATTAGTAAAAAAAAAGACTCGACAGTTGGGATTTTATAAAACTAGAATTCAGAAAAAGCAATTAGCAAACCCATGACTCGTACAATGGACCAAGATAAGTCAATGTATGCTTTCAGTAAAAGAAGTGTCAATGGTGTTAGTACTGTATTGTAATAGAAAGGATAAGCCGTTCCAAGAGATAACATGCATCGGTGCGAATAATATTTCTTCAACAACACTGGTCGTTGTTGCGACATTTTGTGACTTAAATGGTGGTGACAGATAGATATAAAATTTTAATGTCTTCCCACAAGAATATCAACACATTAGCGCGAGTTACGTAACACGCCGCCCTGAACATTTGTAAATAATATAGAACATACGTCGTGTAAAGTCTTTTAATCCATCGAATTACGTAAGAGAACGCTATTTGGTCAAACAATTGTAAAAAAGAGTTGACAAATTGGATGTTGTCACTTAATCTCTACTTAATGCATTCACATGCAATACTCTCTCTTAGGTATATAAACATAAGGTTCATATTTATTACTTTTGCTGTTATGTAAAATTTATTATATCATGCCATTATATACTTTGTTTCCTCTATGAAGCAAATTACACTTCGTCATATTCATTAAACTCTACCACTCATGCGCGGGGTAGGTTCTTCTGAGAGGAATCTGCAATAAATTCTACTGCAATAAGTATTGGTAAAGAAGCATTTGTATACATTTGTCATTTACAACATTTATTATAATTTACTTGTTGAGTTTACATTTACATTTATCATTTACAATGTTTTTTGTATACTGGTTAAGCTTAGCATATCGCATCATACTTGTTAACTTTTAAAATTAGTTTTGTACCTTAGAAAATTACTAAATTAAATCGAGATTGTTTCATACAACTAAAAAATAACGAAAGATAACTAGGAAATCCCAACCTTGTGTGAAAACAACTTAAAAAGCAGAAATATTTTTTTTTCATTTTCATTCAAAATCTTAATAATGACGTCATTGCTGTACAACTCTTCAAAATATTGAATCTCTAGCGATAAACAGTATAGAAATTTCACAGGATAAGTATGCACTATTCACACATACCAATGGTCTGGCATACACACACAACGTCGCCGTCGGTGGATTTACAGACGTCAACGTTTATTATCGTTAGTATCATTATTTATTTCGTTACATTCATTTAGGCTATAGAAAATACGTTTCTAAACGTTTGCATTAATGTATGAGAAAAATATCCGCCACAGCGCATCAATCGGCAAAAGCACGATGCTAGCGCAAACGTGTTAAATAACATCGTTAACACGTACTTATTATGATAGCAAAAAAATATTTGAATTGAATAAATAAAAATAAAATCAGACAAAACAATAATTAAAATTGTCAAAAAATACAAGCAAACAAAAAAAGAATTCATTTATTGCATAACTGTACATGGCATTACTTCTCTAGTTACTTAAGGTATAAATACGAAATATAGGCAGATAATGTGATAGTATTATAAGCAATCATTGGTTAATGAGAGTTCTTAGAGTGGAGCACCGTGTTTAGGTCCACGAGGATTTGCCGAGTGGCCTAAATAATATGTACGAGATTTTAAGACCTGTAACAATTGCATACAATACTTTTTCATCAATTCTTAAAACTTCTCTGAATTCGAATCTTTCTTTTCACACAATAATGTAGATGAAATGCATAAGAATATATAAAGTGTATTTAGCTTTTTTTCTGCAATGTGACCTCATTTCATATTTAGACCGAGTCTGTGGGCCTTAATAAGGACAAGTGTACTTATTACGCCTGCTTTTTCTATACCTGCTAGCTGCGAAAACATTTTACACGTAAATGTCCTGTTAATAATTAATAAAATTGTACCAATATAGATGACAGTTTTCTCTTTTTTTATGATACAAAATCGAATGCGTTGTTATAGGCGGTACGCCTGTCCATAACAGTTGCAATGACGCTCAGTGCTTCAAATCGCATTTGAAGTGCAGTGCCACTGCACCCGTCACCCTGAAACATAAGTTGACAAGTCCCATGTGCCTGTAATTTCACCAGCACCCTTACCCTTCAAAACCGAAACACAGTAATGCTGACATTGCTGCTTGGCGGCAGAATTAAGTAAGGTGGCAGTACTTCCCTGGCCGAACTCTTTCACAAGGAGTTCTGATAATAGCACTCTGTAATGGTAATACAAGAAAAAGACATATTATTTAAGGAAAGAAACTTATTGGCGACTATTGTTTCATGGACTTGGTGCTTGGAAATTTCGACCACCACAGGAAAGTGTCACCTACTTGTCGGTTTACTGTCGAATTCATATCGGAGAGTGTGCGCAGGGACTTGATAATTTAGTTCCACCCTCACAGTTCCTCAGTCAGTCCTCGATAGATAAAAATTACGAAATGACCTCTAATTTTCAAATTTTTTCGATTCATCCTCGAAATGCTACAGGTTATTAGGACAAAAATTAGATAATTAATTATATTTATGCATGATCGACAACTGTCACTACGGATTTTTTTTATCCCTTTAGTTTTAGAGTTATTCCGCTAAAACGAATTTGGTACTTTTAATGCGCAAAATTCAACATCTCCTGTCGCATGTCACGCGAAATTCAGGCATATTTTTGTTTCACAAATTTGGGCGGAACCAACGTCAAAACTTTTTTGGCGTGCTCCCTCTTAAAACGTCCATCGTTTTAAGTTGTAGGAAGATTATGACCCTGAAAATTGCAATTCGGTGCTATGCGAGATATTTTCTAGACAAACACTTACGATTGTAAGTCATAATGCCCCTTTTATTGGCACTATAATATAGATTTTGAGGTTTTCGTGGTTGGTCACAAAATAATTATCACTAATTATGGGTTTCTGAGTCAGAGTCAACCCGTGACCATGGACCGTGTAATCATTTCGAAATATAAGGCCAATAAAAGAACCCATAGGTACTGTGAGTAAGAAACCCGTAATTAGTGATAATCTAAAAATAAAGAGATTAAATTGAAACGTGCGTCTGTTTTAACAGACTTCAAAAAAAAAAGGAAGCGGTTCTTAATTTCCTGTTCTGTTTTGTATGTATGTTACGCGATAACTCTAGCATTTATGAACCGATTTTGATGATTCTTTTTTGTTGGAAAGAGGTACCTCAGTAATGGTCCCATTTAAATTAGAAGAAAATATTCCAACTCTAAAACTGGCAAATTAGGGGATGACTAGCGGCCTGTAACCGTTTTTAATAAAACTTGGCAAATAGATGTACTTCCACGAACTTTTGAGGTTTTTTTACTACCTAAAAAGTTACAATTAATAACGCACACACTCAACATAGCCCCGCACTAGGGAAACCCTGTGTCGCGGATGTAATGGACACATATAGACAACCACAAATCACACCCAAACTCACGAGAGAAATAAATGTAGGCCATACAAATATTTCTCCCGGCCCGCATTATTCTTAAAGTATTAGTAATTCATTGTCTCACAAAAATTTTCATAAAATTTCGTAACATTGATGTAATAAAGCCACACTGCTTGCTTTTGTCACACGGAATTCATACAAATAATAAGAGTAACATGAAACAAATTATATATATTATGTGAATTTTTATAACTTTCCTAATTAAGCCATATAAACAAATTATTGAATAATTTCGTTCGTAAAACCTATAAATTTTTATATTCAGAAAAGTTATTATATTATTTCAAACAGGAGCGATTTGAAGATCTTGAAGTGCTCATATGAAACGAACACGACCCGTAAAAGAAAACGAATGTACATTCTCTGCGGCCATTCATTATTTCTAGACCTCTGTCATGATCTTCATCGTTATGACCTTTGGAATGTCCTCTACTTTGTCCCAGTCTCCGCATTGTCTAGTTTGTGCTATAAAAAGCCGAAGAGTATTAACTTTCGTGAGTAGAAAACAAGAATATAAGTAAACAAATTACTTAATTCACGCAAAGACGATCCAGCCATCTAAATACTTTAACAATACAGGCCTCGTTTTGTTCAGGAAGCAGCAACAAGACTTCTCGAAAAACTTGCCTAATGTCACAACTTTTACCATTAACGCCAATGGGCCTCCAAGGAACAAAATGGCGCCAGGACAATGCAGGCTTTATTACAATGCAGATGTACTGTAATTTATCTGGTTGTCTCCAAGCGCATTTTCAATAGTGACGGTTGTTTCAAACTATAAGTAGTTGGAGTAATTATTTATTTATGTGAAACTGAAAACCACATACTTGTCGCTTGTACAATGATTTGGCAATTCGACACGACTAGTTTGATGTTTCAGCTGCGAATTTTCGTGTATATCATTGACTTACAAATAAATGGGCGACGGGTCTAATACAAAAACCACGAAAAAAATGTCCCAAGTCAACCTATTTAAACGTACTGACATGTAAAGGAATATGAAAAAGCTTAAACGTTGAATTTAAATTGTAATGTCATCGCAGTACTGTCTAATTTTGCTTGCTTCGCTGTCAGTCGAACAAACGAAGATTAAAGCGTGAATGACGCTCTGTATACGATTTTAACGCCCTATAAGTTTGGACACTTTTTAGCGTGGAGCCGACGTCCATACTGATGGTAAACTACACGCCTGTCCATAAGATCTGAGGATATAGAACTCTGTAATGGCAATAGAAGAAAAAGGCATATTATTTAAAAAGGAAACTAATTTATTGGCGACGAGTGTTATATGGA